GTGGACAATGCAGCGTGCAAAAAAGTTGTCACTTTACCGTAATCGACACTATGTGAAAAATAGCTTTTTGTTTGACATTGCTTATGAAGAATGCCGATCGCTTGCTGCCGGGCTGCCGGCGCTATCTTATCTATGCGATACGCGGAAAGTGCCCAGAGAGGCTAACAAAGACTTTACCGATAATATTGTTCCCCCCTTCCATACACTTTCTTACTACTGTAATTTATTAACTGTTTCGACATTGATTTGTCAAGATGATAATAACGAGACGTTCGTTTTTGCGGCCGTGCCGCGATGTCGAGGTGAAGCGGCACACGCGCTCGAGATTTTAATTACTGTAACCAGTCCCGTGATCCTTCGTTATCCTCGGACAAATGACTCGGTAATTAAACGTCTGAAAATTAACGTGACAAGCAACTATAGAGCAATAGCACAGCGCGGGAATTATCCAGTTTATGACGTGTGTTAAAACCAAGAACCGCGAGCGCGAAACGTCGTTTGGCAGATACCCAAGAAATGCACCAAATCAAGTTAAAGTTAAAATGATCTTATTTTGACGTCATAAAAGTCAAATTAATGTGATTTTTTATTGTAAAATTTATTGATGTTAAAATAAAATCATTTTGACTTTTATGTGTTTTTTGGATGATCAATCGCATAATTTTTTTCCCTTGGGAGAAGAGTGAGAACTGAATCTCCGCGAGAATTTGTTGAAAATTGTTTGACATTTGATTTATTTACAGTTATTAAATTGTGTTTTCTAGTGCGAAGTAAAGAAACACATACATATACATTTTGGATGAAATATTTATAACAGGGATAAAATAAAGTTTTATAGAAAATTACATGCCATGACTCATTATTCAGTGAAGAAGAACGGAAAGCGCGAAAAAAAAGCACATGGTTTGAAAAATAATTATGCGATCCGCGTGAAACAACATTTGAGCATTTAGATACCATGTATTAAAAAATATATATTTAAAAATTAAAATTATCATAAATTAAATAATAATTAAAATGTAATATTTTTCAAGCACTGTTTAAATCATTTTCAAGATATAAACTTACAAACTTTACTATAATCGTATAACTTGTCATGTACGCAAAATTCTTGAATGACTAAAAATTATTTCAAATATTATGTTAAATTATATCTTAAAATATATTTTAAATACAAAATCAGAAACTTTTTCCATGAAATGTATCTTTCATGAATTATTTTTCGTCAATAATGAGTTGGAGTCTTCTGGTTTACCTTTTAAACAAAATCAAAATTAAATTTTATTTTTAAAATCACTTCTTAATTAAGATACTGAATATTTCTTCGGCTATATTTCCTACCATTTTTCAGATAGCCTCATCATGCCGTTCTCATTGAATATATAATCACGTTACGCTTGACAAAAGCCATTTATTGAGAAAAAATTGAGAAGAGTTTTTTGTTCAACTTAATATATACAGCGACTCGCGAAAGATCAGTAATCGCATGCTTCGTCGAAGTCTCGTAACGAACGCATGATTCATGGATGTCACATGAACAAGAATGACATTTGTGCCTCGTATGCCTTCTATTTGTGAAGAAGATTCCATTTGTGAAAGAAAATGCGATCTCTGCAAAGGGATGTGATACAGTCGACGATTTCCGGAAGCCACTCGTTATATAGCGCCTGTCAAGGTTCGCAAGAGAAAGGTGAGAGGAGAGAGAAAAATCTCGGGCGCGACCGACAGTCGACAAATAGAGATAATGATTGGAACTTTCTGGATTTCTTTTTACCTTTTCCAGTAGCTTTTTGTGCCTCCGCTTCTTTATCATGTTCCCGTTTTAGTTAAAAGGAACGATTAATTATTGACGCGAATCGTAGCGTCCCGCATGAATGTCAGGAAGTGATCTGGGCAAACAAACGAGTCGCAATTAATGTCAAGGCATTTCTTGCGGTCAGGCGAACGTGAAAGCCAACGGATCACGACTGTGACTTTAGCAAATTGGGATTTTTAATAATCGATGATCCTTTCTTATATATATAGCACAGATATACATACATGCTATTATGTCAGCAATATTGTAATAATTCGAACGTTCCAGTCATATTACAATAACATTGCAAACGTAGCAGTAATGTTATTGTATGTTTCTGTGTTGTATGGGTTTGTGACGGTGTTTGTGTTTTCGACGGATGATGACAGATATACTTTGCAGTTCTCTCCTTCACTTTTCTCTGTTTCTATAAAACTTATTAATCTTCAGTGAACTAGATGGAGTGTGACATATTCCAAAGATGTAAACTTCTATAACTTCTTAATAAGTACTTTTCGCGAGTTGCCGTTTTGTGCAGCTGGAGTGCGATGTTGCCTGTCGTAAATTAATATACTTATGGTAAAGTATAGCCGGGGCTGGGCATGTATTTGAAATACTTTTATTTTGAAAAACAATATTGGTAAGACAATTATATTTTATATTTGTTCGGAATACATGAAAATATTTTGTATTTTGTATTTCAAATACTAACATTAATAATTAACCTTATTATTTGAATTACAAGATACAAAAAGCTTTTAATCTTTCGATTTTAAAAACAAAATACATAATACTTTTCTGTGATCCGCTAAAATAAAAAATATAAAATACGTTTGTATTGCAAATAGTGTGTTTTAAATAAAGTATTTCAAATATATGCCCAGCCCTGAGTATAGCATGGGGTATACTCCCATGTGGGGCTCTCTATATGGGGTTCAAAACCTCATATATCACCATATTGATTTTCTACTTGATTCGGAAAGAGTTAATTTTATACATTAAAATTATGATTTGCTTTTATAATAAAATAAAATAAAAATTATTATTTTTTTATATTATTGTTTTTATGAAATGAATGAAAAGATATCAACAACTATGTTTGCAAACTGCGACCATATTTCCGGGAAGATTTCCGACAATTTCGAGGAAGTCGTGATTCTATTTGGTATGTAACATATTGACACTATATAATTCAATTATAATTTTATCTCCGTTTTTATATCAGTTACTTTATACTTGTAATTATTTCTTTTCATCAAAATGTATAAAATGTTTATTTTCACATTAACAAGTTACACATGGATCTTTAGGAATCGGTACTGTAATAATTGCACGTTTTTTTAAATTAATATGAGACAGTCCTCGCATAATTAATATCGATAATTTATTTATCGAACGTTTCGTTCTAACGTGCTCCTGAGGTGAATTTTCACAGCAATCTCTATAAGTTTTTTAATATTCTTTTGACTTTATAATCAATTATTATAATAATATTCAATTATTATATTTAAAGTTGACCATCCAGCTTTCTAACTGGTTATGAGAAATTTTAGAATGTAACCACAGGATGAAGATATATATGAAATTTGTATATCTCTCTCACCGAAGAAAGCTAGAAGTTAGCCGAAACGTTCAACAAATAAATTATCGATTATATAAGGACTGTTTCATATCAATTTTAAAAAACGCGCAATTATCACAGCGTCGATTTCTAAAAGGATTCCTACGTGTAACTTGTTAATTATTTTAATGTAAGGAACCTTATTTTATTGCAAGTATGTTCATTTTCTCTTCGAAAAGTCAAATTAGTAAAGCTGACATCTATTTATGTAGATCGCCAACGACGAATTAATTTGTATTCGACAGTCAATATATATAATAGTTCCGTTTCACGTATGATCCGCCATCTCATCCTCGGTTATGTATTACACATGGAAAGAACAATTTTGTTGAAGTTGCAGGTCTATATCTAGGTTAAAAGTTTGGCTAGATACAGATCTGCAAATAATTTTGTTTAGGCTATCAAAATAAATTATTTAGGATTTCTAAGCTGCTAAAATTTCAAAATTTTTGCTATATTGTCATTAATGTTTGAGCGTTCTACATAAAGTTTTAATGATCCAAGAAAATTGTTTTCAGATCTGTATCTAATTAAATTTTTAGACACTTTAGTAAATTGTTCTTTCCATGTGCATATTTCTAATAGCAATTTATTAGCGATACATTAATTGCAATTAAACATTGAAGATATGCTGAGCCAGTATTGGGCCAACATTTATTAATAATATAATTTGCTATTGTAGAGATATGTGGAATAAGATGTACTTCAATTGGATTTTTCATACCGCGGTTTTCAGATTATCGCGACTATAACTTAGTGTATTATCCACTCGAGAGATTACAAAATGACGCATTCAATGATATTATCAACTTTTTCTGAATATTTTTCTCCGCTACATTAGCTTTGGTACTCGACAACTTCTGATATCGATGAAATAAATCGTTTGCGCGCGCAACCGCAAAGATCCGCCGTGATCGATGAAATAATCGTTAATTTGCAAAAAATTTGCTTAGAATAAAAAAATGATCCGATGTATAAAAAAAGAGGATCGATCGAACACGCAACGTTTAATCAAGAGGTAAATACGCGGACGGAAACGCACACCGAAAAAAAGTCTGTAGTAATTGCTACCTAATGTTGAATGAAATAATTCCAATCAAATCTTTGATTAATACATTAGGTGTTGGAATTAATTCGTAGCGTTTTACAAGTGATGGGAAGTACTTTCATTAATGTATTTTTTAATGCTCATGTGAAATAAATAACATTCTTTCATTAAAAACGCTACGAATTAATTCCAACACCTAATAATTGAAAATAATTTTATTTTTCTATAAATATTTAATAAGCATCATCAAAACAGTTGATTATATTATTATGTTACATTTGCTAATATCCAAGTAACACACAGCGCTTACAAACCGCTAAAAAAGCGCATATAAAAGCGCATTTTTTTAACGCTTTACAAGCGCTGCTGTGCTACTTGATTGTTTATACTAAATATTTAGAAAAGTAAAATTATTCTTAGTTATATTAATCAAACATTTGATCGGAATTATTTCACTCGATATTTGATAGCTATTATCAGACTTTTTTCAATGCCTAAGACTCGCGCGCGAGATTACGACGCGAGATCGTACTTACAGCACATTTTCAACGCGGAGATCATCCTTGGGAGATTAATTATCCTCGAGGAATACGATACGCTGACGAAGTCTCCTCTTTCCTAATCGTTGAAATCTCGGGGGTTGAAGCGACAGAGGCGGCTTTCTTTGCTTTTCTTGGCCCTTCCTACTCGAATAGTCGCTCTTTCGCTTTCAAGGGTCACAAAGAGCTCCAAAATACAAAGCTGTCACTTCTCCTTTTGTCTCGTCAAATCGTACACACGTGTCGCGAGCGACTGAATCCGGCACCCTCGTAAGTTCGCTTTTATATCTGCATGTGCTACTCGTCGCACATTATCCAGGGTGGGGAACGTAAGAGAAACGTAAAGTACGAGCGGCAAGGAGGCGATAAGCCCGATCTCGGCCGTGAATCGACCGCGTGTACGACGTTTTTCAGGTGTACTAGTAGGTCTACTATAGTCTTTCCTGAACTGTTTTTTCCATGCAGCCGTTGAACCTTATTAACGTCGACACGCGACGATAACGCATTGCCTAACAACGGAGGGGAAATACACGATTTCATTATTTCGTATTTTCTACGAGGAAATTTACTATGTTGCGACGTGCCTTTCGGAGCGAGCGAATTATGAACCGGTTTTCTGACTTTGAGCGGAATCGGCAATCATTTTTTATTCAAATTTTTGTACGAATTGGAAAACGATAGAAAATCGTTCTCTTTACTCTTTAAATTCTTTAGAGTGGAATCTCATTCTACAGAGAAAATTGAGCTAGTCTTACAGGAAAAGAGTGGTTTAATTTTTAATCTTTAAGTATGAATGATTTCAGAGTGTTCACTCTGAAAATTTTAGAAAGTACAGATCTGGAGTCCTTCACAGGGACTATTTGTCTTCGACCACTCATCTTCCGTATAATAATAATCGCCGACCTGACGAATTCTATTCACGTATTATCTCATGGCGAACGTGCTGACGTCGTGATCGTCGGGTCCGCGCATATAAATTCATGCAATTCTATTTTTTTTTTCTGTGCAAAGTGTTTGATATTGATCGCGATATCGACGTTAATTATCTATTTTGAGCAAGGCCACAAGGCCACTGAATCTGATACATTTTTTAATGTGATGGCAATGATATTTCGTTTGCAACCAAGATAGAATCGACGATCCGCGAAGTTCTCTAAGCGTGATTAATATTTAATTAAAAAATTATATAATTATTGTTTTTGTAATCTCTGTAAGATCTATACTTTTTAAGTTATATTTTTTAATTTTATATAGAGGTTACAAAGAAAATGCAAATAATGATATTGTATAAATAAATTATACAAAATAATATCTTATAATTGAAAGAAAAAGTATGAATTTTATTGAGATAGACGAAGCTTATTTTTATCGTAATTATCTCGTTACTACTTAAGTTAAATCAAATTATCTAATTCAAGATTAATTAGTTAAAGAACAATATTAATTGGAAAATGATGACGAATATACATATAAACAATTGTGAGAATTAGGGCAAATAAGAAACGCGATTGTTGGAGCGTGATTAAATAATATTGTTATTCAGTGCAGTTTTTTATTGAATATATTTCCATACGAATTTTTTTTCGACTCTTTTTAGAGTCATCATCAGTGTTACTTACAGTTCTTCAGAAATATGAAAACATCCCTCATTCATTAATGGCTACTAAAGGACTGGATGATCCTAAATGAAGTGCATAAATTTCGTTGTAATTTTATACAATTTTTCATTAAGTGATGAGAGATGTGATTACAAAAACTAAATTACTAGAATATCGTCCATGCAGCAAAATTATAACGAAAGAAATTCGTGCACTTCATTTAAGATCGTCCAATCCTTTAGTGGCTGCCATTGATGCATGAGGGATGTTTTCATATTTCTGAAGAACTAGTAATGCTAATAGTAATGCTAATGATGACTTTAAAAAGAATCAAAACGTTTATATGGAAATATATTCAATTAAATACTGCACTGAATAACAGTATTATTTCATCACGCTTCAACAACTGCGTTACACTCTCATTTGCCCTATAATTCTCACGATTGTTTATTATTTCAAGAGTCATAAGAAAATAACAATATTTCCGTCACTAATGAATATACATATTATTTGAAAAAATCATGCGCCTCCTCCGATTGCGGCTGGAATAGAAAGTTGAGAGCTAGATCGATATACACGAAAACTATGATATTGACGATCGAGAATATAGCTCTGCAAAAACATGCATATTATAAATATACATACATGTATATATGCATGTAAGGATGTTACGAAACCTTGAAAATTGCAAATTATGAATTATGAATATATTTTCTTTAATTATCTATTTTTAACATTTTTAAATTTGTTTTTATGTCGCAAGAGATATTCTTACGATATTTCTAAAGTTATATTCAGTTATACTATTTTAAAATTTTTTTATGTATGTATTAAAAGAAGTAATCAAATATACTTGACATCTTTTTGTACTTTTTGAAGAGATGAAAGTAATTTTACAGAATAAACTTCAAAGGGTTGAGTGCACGAAATGCACGGGGTTCATAAACAATCAATTCATCACCACGGTGACGCTATTTACGTTGCTTCCGCAACTTCACGCTTTTCACGGCCTAGTATATTTGTAATAATACGTTTATCGTAAAGTTGATGAACGAAGCGATATGGAGCCTCAAGATCTTGAAACGATTGGAATAATCACGTTTGACGGTTCGTACAGAAAACAATAAATTGTTTTATTTCAAATAACAAGAATTAAATTTTTATTAAATTCAAAACAGATTTATTTACATTTAAGTAATTAAATAAATTTAATTCAAAATGAATTAATCAAAAATATATAAAATTATTAAAGTCTGATTAAGTTGAGTTTATACAAAATCAAGGAACATGAATTTTACAAGATTTAAATTTTTGAAAAATGTATAAGAACAACAATGAATCGAAATTTTATACAGCTTATTTTGCACTTTTATTTTCACATATTTCTAGATGAAATTAATTAATTACTGTATGCCACTTTGTACTTCCATGATTAATAACTTTACATTCTTCTTTTATATTTTATCTTTCTAATGTCCTTCAATCTTTTTTTAAGGCATAACAAAGAACTCTCTGCAATTGCATCCGGATGAGAAGCACCTCCTCTATCCGATGGGGTACAAGGTCGTCATAAGGAACATCGAAACTGGCGAGCAACGATTTTTGAGCGGTCACACAAATAATGTCTCGACATTGTGTGTCTCTCCGTGCGGTGAATACGTTGCTTCCGGACAAAACAATCATCTTGGTTTCAAGGTACGTATACATCTTAATATTCTCATATGCAATTCAATTACATTTGATTTCACCGATTACATCTTCATGTCACAGGCCATGGTGATTGTGTGGAATTACAAGGAAGGTACGATGAAAGGCAGTTATGAGACGCACAAGGTCGGCATCGTGGACCTATGTTTTACTTGTAACAGCGACTTCCTCGTGAGTCTCGGTGGCAGAGACGACGGCAACATAATTATCTGGGACGTCAAAAAGAATTCTTTAATTTGCGGTATCTGTCCTTATTCTTTTTATTAATATTTCCCCACAAATCTGCGAGAAGAATCTCAGATAGATGTGTATATGAATGAAGAAATGCAGAAGTTTCTCCGCGAAAAAAAATTCTTTTGCAAACAATTTGTAGAACAGAAATTCAACTCACAAATGTACATCAAATATTGAAAAACAATCCTCTGCAGGTTCGATCGCCAGCAACGATACGAGCGGTAACGCATATAGTATTACGAAAACGCATCTTCACGGCGAGTGCTTCGTTAGCGCGGGCGACAGGACGCTGAAGCTCTGGTGGATCGAGGCGGAGAAACGTCGAATGCACAATCTCGAAGTGGAAATGGGCAAATTAAAGCGTCTCATTAACTGCATCGTTGTAGACGAAAAGGACGAGAGCATCTACTGCGGCACTTCTTCCGGTGATATCATTAAAGCAAGGTCACATAGAGACGCCTGTGGAAAAATTAGTATTCACAGCTCTTCAATTAATATCTATATCTTTTAATTGCCATATCATTACGTTTCATCTTCGTTTACTGTGTGCATCTTCATTCCTGTTCAATCATCTCTTCTTTCTCAGGTTGAATTTGCGTGACGATCTGCAACGCGGAGAACCGGCGTGCTTGCCGGTGTTGATAGACTGCTACTCAAAAATAACGCGCGACCCGAGGAAGATGAAGATGGGCGAGGGTGATTTATACGCGGGCGGAGTGAGGAGCTTGCTGCTTCTGAAGGATGGAAAACTGGTAGTCGGTACCGGTGACGGTACCATCGAGTTGATCCAAATAATAAGCATGAAAGAGAGCCAAATGCGTAAGCAGCCATCGAAGTTTCCCAATACACCGCAGATACTCACTGTAAGTCATTCAAATCACTTCACGACAGATACATTATAAGAAAGAAGCAGAAAACAACAAAGGCGAAGGAAGGAAAAGATATATAAAGATATTGCAAAACATGGAATTACAAAAACAAAAATTAATGACGAAAGTTGGCAATATATACAAATGACTTGCAAAGAATTTATGACTGAAATCGTAATTATCCCCTTTTTTATTAATCAGCATCAAAAAGAAAACGTGTGTAGTGCTGTAACATCCATGGTTCTCTATTTAAACGAATTCGTGCTGATTGGGACATCCTGGTGCGAGATCTATCAGATAAAGCTGTCAAATTTTGCAGACATGCGTCTGCTCGTCACGTGTCATACCAGCTGCATATATAGTATTGCATTTCCACGGTAAGGAAGTTTTGCAATTACATGCTGGTTGATCGAATCGATTAACGTCGCTTTAATGTCACAGCAATCATTCGGAGGTATTCGCAACAGGCAGCAAGAACGACGTCAGGTTGTGGGTACTGGAAAAGCAGAAGGAGAGAGTTCGTGTCACCGTGGCGAATTTCATTTGCTCCAGTCTACTGTTCGCACGTGATGATCAAATGCTGCTTTCTGGTACATATGGCTAGTCATATTTATATTTATATTATTGAGGATTTTACAATTCAAGTATTATATAAATCAGAGATTATAAACTTCTCTTTCCTGTTATTATCCGTGCAATGATCTGATATTATTAACTTAATACATATAAAATTTTCCATTCATCAGTAAAAAATTTTTCATGAATATGTATAAACACGCAAAATATTCATAAACATATATAATTATATATGAAATATGTATCCGTACATATTTATACATCTTTCTTTCTTTTATAAAATTACTTTTTAGTATAATATAAATAATGTGAGTACATAAAACACTAATGTGAAAACATAAAAAATAATTAATTAAATATTTATAAACATATATAATTATATATGAAATATGTCCATAAATATTCATACATCCTTCTTTCTTTAGTAAAATTACTTTTTAGTGTAATAGGAATAATAATAGTAATGTGAAAACGTTAAAAATAATTAAAAAAGTATTTTTCGCATTGTTTGTTTTAAAAAAAAAAAAGGTTGGAAAAATGTAAAAAAATAAATTGCTCATATATAATTATACATAAGTTTTTTACATTTCTTCAAACTTGATTTTTTTCTAAAACAAATAGTGCGAAAATTACTTTTTTAATTATTTTTAATGTTTTCACATTACTATTATTATTCCTGTTACACTAAAAAGTAATTTTACTAAAGAAAGAAGGATATATGAATATTTATGGACATATTTCATATATAATTATACATGTTTATGAATATTTATGTATGTTTATGTATGTTTATATATATTTAGACATATTCATCCATGAAAAATTTTTCACCGGGAAACTTCCCGTTTATGTTTCAAAGGTTTTTAACGGTTGCAATTCGTTATAATTTTTGTACAGTAATGCATGCTATCGAATCATCGAATTTTTTTCTATATTTCAGAACTTCTTGCGCGGTTCATTTTTTTATCTTTTTCTCTACAATGAAAAGAAAAAGAAAAAAGATATACTATGCAAGAAGTTTAGAATTAAGGCATCGAAAAAGAACAAGCCTCGTGTTTAAACTAAAATAAACATTTGTATTGTTTACATGTTTCAGCTTGGAACGACGGCATAATAAGAGCGTTCTCATCGCATAACGGGGACTTATTTTTTTCTATTCATAACGCTCATACGAAAGCCATATCGACGATTGCCATCACGAATGACGATACTACGCTGATTAGCGGTGGCTGCGATGGCCAGGTGATTAATTACTTCGCTCAATCGAATCTGATTGGCTTATTCTGTTCCTGCTGCAAAATTAACATCTATTCGTATTAATTATGCATTAGGTAATACCAATAAATTTTGCCGTTTAACATGAAACTTATCTGATTTCCAGGTGCGTATATGGGATATAAACACTGACGTGCAGCGATTGATTAATATACTGAAGGAACATCGAGGTCCGATAACATCTTTACATGTCTCAAGCAACAACGAGGATCTAATAAGTTCGAGTACGGATGGTACATGCGTTGTTTGGGACATAATGTAAGTTTCGCTTGTAAAAAACATTATTTAAGTTGGTGTAAGAGTGAGTTTTAACGGGTTCTTTCATAATAGACACTGCACCAGGAAACACGTTCTCATAGGAAACACGATGTTTATGATGGCACAATTTACGCCCGACGGCATTCAGATCTTGACATGCGGCACGGATCGCAAGATCGCCTATTGGGAGACTCTGGACGGTTCGCTAGTGCGAGAAATTGAAGGTTCGAGCGCCGGAACGATGAATTGCGTAGACATCAGTTCGGATGGTCAATGCTTTGTTACCGGATCCAACGACTGTACCATCAAGATCTGGGAGTATAATAGCGCGGATCTCACCTACATTGGTACCTCCCATGCCGCGATAATCACCGCGTGTAAGTTCAGTACGGACGGCAAGTATATAGTAACAACAAGCGCTGATGGAACAATTATAATATGGAAACGTCCATCCGAGATCTTAAAGGATTCAAAAAGTGCGCCAATTCAAGAGGATAAGTCAGAAAGAGCCTCGATACGTAACGTGCCCGACGAGGATGCGGTTAAATTATCTGCGCGAAAAGCAGAGAATGATGGAAGTGTCGTGGTGAATCAGACTGCACGATCGTCTAAAAAATCTAGTTCATCATGTACAAGTAAGTATATTATATTCTTAAATATATGACAAAGTAAAACAGAGATTTATCAGAGCAATGTAAATCTTATTGCAATTCACATTTGCTGATTTATTAACGATAGGTAATCAGAAGCCGCTGTTAGTTGCTTCTGATCGGAGTAAAGGTTCTAAAAAAGAAACTCGCGAAGAAAAAACACCTGTTTGTACATCGCGGAGCTCGACAAGCTCCAAGTCAAATGCAAGCACACCGAATCAATGTCGATGTAAGGACACAAAGAATAATGGACCATCTAGCAAAACAAGAACAATGGAAAAATTGAAAGAATCTTCAGATTCATCCAGCAAAAGATCCATTACGTCAAAAACATAATGCACAATTATTTCGTGACAAATCAATTAATTTATATACTCGGGGTTTCGATATTACTATATTAAAAGATTAACGCGTACAGTAAAACTGTGGCGTTTTTATATCTTTTTAACACAAATGCGTAATTTCAGCAAGAATTCTTCTACAAAACAATGATAAAAGGTATCATAATTATAATCGTAATTATATTATACATAAATAAAAATTATATAATAAATAGAAAAACTAGAATTATCACAATGTTCGTGTCAACTTATATTTTTTATCGGGGAAAATTAATATTGGCAAGCTAATTTTAATAAATCTCAACCCCACGCTTGACTCTTACAATAATGTATAACCAACTTTCCGTCAGCACCGTAGCAGTCGTACAAATTTTTGACTGTCTGATCTGGAGCAGGTGCAAATGTCTGATTAACATAGAGAAACTGAAAAATAAAAATTCATCATATTAGTATCATCATCGCTTCATTGTACTGGCAAAAGAAATTGAAAAGGAATATTTCAATGCACCAGTCTCTCGTTGGGATCCAGCTTGAGATACTTCTTTATAAATTCAGAGATCCGTCCGATAGGATTGTCTTGACAAACTGACCATTTCTTCTGTTTCATAATTGGAGCGTTGGCAGTAGCCTTCAGCAGTATATCAACTATGAAATTTAAATATAAAATTAATTTTTTTTAATATATCTTGTTATATGCTTGTAAAATTGTATAAATGACGATGAAATCATACTCTTTGACTTGTCCTTTGGTGCTGTCTGAAGTTCATTTCGTGTCGCGTTTCCCTCAGGGATCGTCTCTAAACTAGCTGGTGGATCTTCCGTTGTTGAGTTATCTGGTGTCTCTTCAATCTTTGCATCAGTAGTTGTACTGTTTACTCTCTCCTCTTCCTTGGTTGCCATGACACAATGTAATCTTATTGTATCTGTTACAATAAAAGCAAAAAATTCAATAATTATAGTAATATATATTACTAGTAAATACTTACTAGTAAATATATTTAAGAAAAGTAAAAAGTAAAATCAATAATTTATTATTTATCAACAAACTGTATGCTTAATTAATAAAATACTTCAGTAAAAACTAATTGATATTTCTTCACATATCTTTTCAACAAATCGTTTATTAAATGAATTGTATTGATATTTTTAATTTAAATTCATTCGTTTCACATTAAAATAAATGTATAGGTTATAATATAATCATTTGATTATCATCGAGAATTCTTCAAGAAATGAACAAGCTATACACTAAAGGGTTATATTACTTAATAAAATGTAATTTTTGCTTTTAGCAACTAAAGAACTGTTGCAAACCAGAATGGCATTTTTAATTGTATGTTATTCTTGTATATTTTTGTTCAAATCAGAATAGCAAGCGCCACAGTAAAAAAATTAATTATTCTTTTTTTACTTTTTTATTCGATAAAATTAGTATATGAGTTAATTTAATAAAATATACACAATTAACAACAATAACAATGTTTGTTAGACAAATTTTGTATTCAGTATACATATATATAGATATCAAGAAACTTACATTCACACGATATTTCAGGCGAAATAAAATAGACGATACAGAATCGGCAAGAAACAAAAAATTATGTTTTATAGTATTTTATACTTTGCAGTTTCACAACGCGAACAGCTGATTACTCCAGGTATCCAAATAGACGCACTGAAGTCACTGAATAGGTATGACTTTTATTTCTGCACTAAGCTGCACTAGAATTTTCTTTCTTGCTTTCGCCAAATGTCAAATATATATCTATTTCACTTAAAGTTCTAAAGTGTACACTATTTCAAAGGAAATAGGTCTCATATTTACCTAACCTAACTTTAGACACGTAAACACATCACAACAATAGGGATTAGGACACTTTCATCTTAGGTACATATCTTATCTAGATATTTATTGATATTTATTCATCATGATTCAGAAGTGACAATTCTATAGTCTATAAAAAAAACTTTTGGTGTCTTCCTACGAAAAAAGAAATAAAAGTTTTTTTTATCTGCAAATGAGGTTAACGTGTACAAGAAGCGAAAGGTAAATAGTAATTACAATATGGTAATTAATACATTTAAATATGTAGCCTTCAATTTTTTTATCGACAGATAGAACATCTAAAGTGAAGAATACACCGGGAGTATTCTATACTAGGCAAATTATTTTACTTTTTACTATCTGAAATATAAGACAAAAATGTATATTGTAACGTTAAAAAATAAAATGATTATTTGAACAGATAATAATTCTTCCAATTACGGATACCACATATTTCTCATCATCATGGTAGAAGCAGCTGGGTGTGGAGAATTACAGCAGTTAGTTCAAGAAGAAGAATGTGAAGAGCCACTCAGTCATGGAGGAGAAGCTACTCCTCCATCGACGCCAGCGAGATCTCATCGTCCGAACAAAACTGAAGTTCATAATTCCAGTATATCGGTACGACGTCAATTATCTTGATCCCATTATTTTGACAACTGTACAATAATATAATTATTTATCTGATATTTTTGCAGCAACAAATATTATGGGAAAACAACGCACAAACATCGCCAATTATTAGCAAAGGAAGCTCTGGCCAAGGGACGAGTCAAGGCTCCATGGTTTCCAGTCGCGCTGCTAATGCTTCAAGTTATACTGGCAATCAATCTCGATTAACGTATCTTAATGAAAAGGAAAAGCAGAGGCCTAATCGGCCTGATCCACCGAGAATTGTAAGACAGCACAAAGGTAATTAAGGCTCTAGAAATCATTTTAAGTACAATAATTTTTCATCTTTTCAGTTTCTTTTATTCTCCAATTCTATTTCACATGCTTTTCATAAATATATTTGTATACATTTGTATATTTTGTTATAATTTTTTAATTTTTTATAATTTATGATTTTGTTGTGTAAATCTTATATTTAAGTTTCACATCTTTTGGTTTTGTTTTGGTATTATTATACAAAGCCGTGGTGCCATGCAAACACCATTGCTTTCTGTCAGAGGTTCCTGACGTTCGCCATATGGAGCAAGCTTTGCTACAATTGCTAGAAGATTTTCACAGTGGCAATTTACGAGCATTTGGTTGGTACAATTCATGATGTATAAATAATAGAATACTTAATGAGATCGATAATTGTTTATAGGAAAAGATTGTAGTATGGAGCAGATGACGGAAATACGAGAGCAGCAGGAACGTTTGACTAGACTACACTTCGAGCTAGGTCAACGACAGGAAGTGGGTGGCGAGCAGTCAGGTCTCCGACAATCAAATGCGAATATGCGCCATTTACTTCATCGTCTTCAACAACTGAGTGTTTGTATAGAAAAGTTACATAGCAAATGATTATCTCGTATTTATTATTACATATTATAAATTCTTAATGATGTTCGAGGGTGTATCATTATATTTATATATAATAAGTGTAATGTACATATATAATATAAAGTATTTTATGTTGGAAGAAGAGGATTATAAATGCAATTTTAGATATACGATTATTATACGAATATATTATGCATATGTGAAAAACAAATTGGAATAATATAAAGTTATTATTATATAGAATATATATTAAAAATTTGCAACATTTTTCACACAATTACAGATTTGTAATTACATATCACATATATCATTATGTATCTATTATTATATGAAAGTATGTTTTTTTATTTGGGACGCACTAAAACAATTGCCATTTTCGTAGCTATGTAGATTGCACTCTTTAATCAATGTTTTAAATGTTTTAATTATTTTTATTTTAAATCTTTCATTCATCGATTATGCAAACCAGAAATACTCCATTAAGAATCAGCTATATATAAATATTAATATTATTTGATGTAATTAATTTATCACGAATTTTAAAAATCTAGAATTTCTGCATCCTAGGTATCTAATATTTTAGTAGATTATTGCAGAGATTTGCGAAGATGAAATCGGCAACGTCATCACAACCACAATGCACGATTACAGCTCATGATACTTTGGAACACCTGAGCTATGCAAAACGTCCTGCATTCAATGCACTGTGGGAGCCGAAAAATATGATCAGTATCGATGTAAAAGCGACAGAAAAAAAACGTATTCTTGGAGACAAATATCTGGAGAGCATAATAAAGTAATGATTTGAATACAAGGTCAACTTAATAAGATATACGAGATCAATTTGATAATTTTCATACGTATCCTGTGCACATATATTTGTACATAAATTTTTGGAATATTAATCTTGATTTAGAGAAAGGCCAAGAAGTTATATGGTGCCAAGTGTAAGTTTAGATAACATACGAGATAAAAATCAAAGAAAATTAATGATCGACTTTATATACCAAACAACAATAGATCAAGCGGCGAAGGAAATTTGGGGCGATTTTAAAAAACATCCTTGCTTATATACAAAGAGATATGCAAGAGAACAACAAAAACCCGTATTATATTGTTTTATACAACTATTGTAAATTTGCAATAAGCTTTGTAGCAATTATAAATAGATTGAATAATTTATAGGAAATTGATCGACAAATAATATCTCGTTTGCCAGTGAGATTTCAAGGAGCTGCTAGGAAATGGGATAGTATGCAAAGTCGTTCTTTTCTCGTAGATGATATTTGTTATGATAAAAAAATTAAAAAGAGCGCTATGTATGTAAAAAAAGTACTTATAATAATTCTCTTCCATAAAGAAAAAATCTTATATGGCTAAATAATTAATTATTTATAGTGAATTAGAAACTTGTGCAAGCAAAGAGATATCAGAAGAAGAGCATATGATAAGAAAATTAATCAATGAAAATAAACTAAATATTATTTATGACAAGTTGCCTTCATCGTATACAGGACATAGACCGTACATTGCACATGAAGTGCCGATAGAGAAGAGAAAAATCAATTAATCAATTAAACAACAATGTATCAATTCATTTACAAATATGTCTTCCCACATGATCCTAACAAATGTCTATTTACACGTGTTCTATCTAATAAATCTATCATAATTACAATAAAACATTTCTATAATAATATGGCTTATAATAAATTGACTTTTCAAAATCTATTTTACAATATCACAAGAATAAAATTTAACTCAAAAGGTTTTAAAATTTTAAAAATATTTCTCAATTCATCTCTACACAAAACATCGAAAAATTATCTACATTAAAGTGTAAAACAAAATGAAAGGGCTTTCGAAGCGCGCATTCTGACAATACTTTCTCTATCACGTAAAAGTTGTAACAGTCTTTGTACATCTTCAGGTCTTGGAGAATCGAATAACCCTAAGAGCAGCGCGGATGTGGCTCTAGTATGATAATTTTCCGATCTAGAGTAACCACGGACAACGGCGTTTCTGTCAAAAAGATAATACAACTTAGGGTACACACTTATTTTTAATATTTAATTGAATTAAAAAATACACTACGGTATACCTTAATTCTTCAGCTCTTTGTGGAAATTCCTTTTTCAAACAGTTTATCAAGTCTTTCGAAAAGTTCTCGAAACTAAACTTCGCTTGTGGTCCCAAATTAATACGTATTACATGCAATAATTTCTCATTCTGCACGATACTTGTAGTTTTATATAAGGTTTCCTGTGTAGTCTGTTGCATAAGCGGCATAAATAAATATCTGAACAAGTAACTCTAAATAACATTTTACAATAATAGACATACCTTAACTACTGTTATATTCGAATCTTCCAGTCTTATTATCAAAGACGGCAAACAGCCTAGAAGATGATCAATCAAATCATCATCCGGTAACGCAACTGATCTCTGCCAATTGGTAGCTATCGCTCCCAAAGCATCTATGGCAGCAAGTTTCATTTCCCAGTTTTCTTTCTCGATGAATGGTTTCAAGGCCAGCACCACTCGCGGGCTAATAGGTCTCTTGTATTGAACCGATAATAATACTGAAAGGCCACGTAACGATTCAAGTACTACTTCAGCACCGCCTTCTCCACCGGCAGTCTCCTCCAATCCATCGAGTAAGGCTTCCATGCAATTGTCGAAATATTCATCGACCTAAAAGACAACACTTATGTCAGTATATGAAAATACATACTGAAGAAGAATACTTTACTTGTCTCGGATCCAAGTAGGCTATTCTAGCAAGTCCGATGGTAGCGAGTTTTCGCACTAAAGACGATGAATCGGCTTTAGCATCGTGCAGAGTGTTAATTATGGCATCAAGCCATATAGTTCCACAATTTATTTTGCCAATCAATTCCGAATAAAAAGTGGCAGCGACCGCTCGCTGTATAGCTATCGTGCTAGTCATCAGTTTACCCAGATATTGCGTCATGTTTGACAGAACTTCGCTTTTAGTTGATATACATTTCATCAATATTCGTACAGTTGATATCAGGCTTTCTTCGGCTTGTGCTTCGGAAGCAAATGCCTAGATACAAAAGATTTACATTATTAACTTGAAGTAAAAACAATCATAAATTTGTAAAATGCTTTTATACGTACAGTCTCCATCGGCAAATTGGATGCAGCATTCGGTTGGATAATTATTAATATGTTAGTTAAAATAGAATATACTTCCGTATGAGGATTTATCTTTTGCGCTGCTCGATTCGGTACGTATCCGTACTTCGTATTTATCACCGACGCAGGAGCTTCGACATGTAACCAGCCCGAGAGATATTTAAGAAGGACTGATAACAATCCC